AAGAAGAAAGAAATTCAAAGCAAAGATGACAAAATTTCGATAACATCTCTTTCGTTCGAAAGATCTTATGAGCATATCTTGACTGAAATATTTTCGACCTGATTTAAAGTCACCTGCTTTAGCTCTCTAGAGAGCAAGTTTCTCGATAGTCCCTGATCAACGGCCATGGCTCTTGACTTGAAAGCATGTAAACAATGAAGAAATGTTTGTGCAAATCATTTAATATTTATTGACAAATTAACTGCAAAATATAATCAATAATTATTTTGGGTAATGAGATAACATGCGCACTAATAAAGCAATTTTTTACCTTAAGGGTCTGTTATCAATATCAATATCGATGGCATTATCATCATATATCAAATTGTTTATTCTTACTTATATCTACAGAGCATATGCAGGTAAAACAATTATATTTACATCAATAACTACGATACAAGGATTTAAATTTCATAACGAAATGCTGATCTCCAGATTGACATTAATTAATATAAAAACTAAGGTCTTCTTTACGTGTAACTGAAATTCATACATATCTATATATATATACATATGTGTATATATATATATATATATATATATCTATATATATATATATGCCTTAATGACAATCAATTAAATGGAACAACACTTAAATTCTTTGACGTTTGTTGACTTTTCTTTTTTCATCGCATACATACAAACAATGAATGATTTTGTAAAGACTCGGAGCGCGTTAATGTAAACAAATAATCAATTAATTGTTACATAATTTTTAATTTTTCCAACAAAGCTTTGTAAACAGTATTTTTATTCACTCAGAAAAAGATGGGACGTGGCAATTATATTACTCCGCCTGTCCCACCTTCAAGTACATATCACAAAAGACCCGCTGAAACGTAAACAGGAATAAATAGCGTAAGCACTGGCAAGTGAGTTTTTCCGCTCTTCTTCTTCTTAAATAGTAGACTAGATAGTTAGTTTAGTCGCTTTATTGATATTAGGTTCTACACGTACTTGCAAGAAGTCAATAATAGTAGTATATATTCACAAAGGATATGTTTAATCGTAAGATTCTGTATACGATAGCGTATTGCAGGAATGAATTTCTAAAAAAGCCATTAATTTATTGCAATAGTGTAACCAAAGCAGATTCTTGCAAACCTTTTCATCTTAATTTTCTTAACATTTTCTCGGGTATAGGTGTGAAGAGAGATTAGGTTTAATATACTGGTAGTGTGAATGATGTCACTGTCGATTGTTATTTTCAATTTTCTATTTCAAAGGCACAAAGCCTTTTTATATAAAGTATTTATTTCATCCCTCTTGAATAGAGTGCAAAGCAAAGCTGTTTTCCAATCATCAAGTCAAAAATGACCGTCCAAACCTCTTTAATTGTCTACGAAAAGGATTTTTGATATTCGAGAATAGTCAGAGAAGCCTGCTGGAACAAAGGCAGGTAAATAAGGGGATTGCAAGACAGCGTCAGCCGAATTTTCGGTAGGATCAAGGCAGTAAGAAAACGTACCAGACCTTTCTCTCCCTTAAAGCTTTAGGCTTAAAGCAAAAGATTTGTCACATTCACATTCGACCCCATGTAGTCGTGCAGACAAGAATCCGCGCTTATAAATTTCTCTATATAAAGCGCGTATTGATTAAATAGCACTCATCGCTCGAATTTTTTGCTTTGTGCCAAATATGTTCTAAGGATGATATTTTCTCGATTATATTATCATGAGCAGCTAAAAGTTTGCAGTAACAAATGAACGGATAGCAGCAATTGTACCCAATAGCTAAGCAAGAGTAATGTTCACATGTAACACATTGCGAGACTTCGAGCAAATCTTCGGACATACTTGCGGATCAATGGCTTCTGTTGTTCTTTGGATTGATAATTAATAAATAGGTTTGCACTTAAACGCTCTGCAGTTCGCATGAAATCTGAAAATTTGACGTCAAAATTGGATGAACATTACAAGCTCACCATTCTTCTGTGCATAAGCCTATTTTGGATCTATTGCTTACTTGTAACATAAGCAACTCAGGTATCACCTCTACCTAAATGATTTTTGATTTATAATTTTGTGCTGACTATAATTGAACATGATGATGTTGTTTACATTATGTTTATTATTTAAAGAAAAAGCTTAAAGAATCTAAAATCTGGGCTGTTGTGTATGTGCGCTATTATTTTTATATATGTATACATATATTTATATATACACACAAACATATATATATATATATATATATATTGCAGTTAAATTAAATTAGTTAATCACAAAGCGTAATCGCACACACACATACGTACATATGTATATATCTAATTAACTCACTTTATTTAATTTCAATATTGATGATTGATATTATTAATAATTCAGACATCCCCAATCACACATTATTTTTTAAAATACTTTTCATTCTCTTTACATTTATTAAAGAACCCAACACGAGTGCAGTCTTTTTTTGAAATGACATTTCAATTGAGTTCTACCAATTTATCGCATGTCATCAATATGAAAATTAAATGCTCGTAATCGAATTACTTATGTGCTTGCAACATCTTTCTGACCACAAATCTCACAAAATATATACGAGCTGTATCACACACAACGATGAAGCAAAAAATATAAATCTGTTTTTTTCATATTTAAGGAAATGGTTGATATTTTCTCTTATTATCAGCAAATTATCAGTAAAACAAAAAAAGGAAACCAACTCAACACCTAATAAATAAAAAATAAAATTTACAATATATAAAATAATACACACTACTCTCTTTCTTACAATGACTTCGTTAATTAACAAAGCAATAGCATAACTTTAGGCTTTGTGTTAAGCAGGTGAAGCGCACAGTTTACAAAGATGAAAAATTCTCTTTTTGAAAATATTAAATGCACAATATTTTCAGTCTTTCTTTTTTTATTTTGCTGAAAAATGTGGGATAATAGAAGAAAATGTGAGACAGAGATAATGTCTATCGCCTTCGTTAGCATAAAGAGAAGAGTCTATTAAGACGTAAGTATATAAAAGGTATGCTGGCAAAATCATAAGGATAACTGCAAAATTCTGGGAGAGTTTTGTTTCATTTTCACAAATCATAATAAAAGAAGAGAGCACTCGGTTCAAAAATATGATATTATATCTGAAAAAATTTGAAACAATGATGTCTTACAATTAGTTCGCTATATTTTGTAGACGTCCCCTACTTTGTATCAACTAACTGATAAATAGTATCGCCATATGGAAATTTCAACTAATTCCAGGGAGTTCACTTAAAGGGTATGAAAACATTTTAAAGTTTTCAGAAAAGCAATCAATTTTTCTTTTTACGTAAGTGATCTTTTCAATAATCAAGAATGCAATAAAAAGACGAAGATTGTAGGCCGAGCAAAATTTTACATGGCGCAAAAATGTGATTTTCTGATCATAACTATTCAGTTCTTCTTCTTCAGGTACTTAGCTCTTTAAAAGCCTTCTTCTAAAGACACAAATGTTCAAAACGTTTTGGATCGCGACTCTTACAATTTTAACAAGTTTGCCATCGAATCGAACGACTACAATTTTCGTCCCCATAAAAGTTTGGGCGCCTCTGACTGAAAGATTTTATAGAGATAGATGAATAAGTAAGAGAACGTCCTTTTCTATTATGTTTGAAACAAGTTGTATCCATATTGTTCAAATTGAGATTCAACCGCATATGTAAATCGTTAAAGTTTTTATGCTAACAGTAAATGAAAAGGCTAAGAGCTAAGTAAACTTCGAAAAGATCCACGATAAAGTTAATGACCTTCACCAAGACTCTAGTACGCAAAAAAATTGAGAAAATTTAAAATCCACTCTGATCAAGTAGAAGTTATTGCGAGCCTAAACCCAATTTAGAGATCTTCTAATACGGAATCGAGCAATCATGACGTTAAATGATGTTTTCATCAATTGTTTATTAATTTAGTTATATTAATAACATAATGTTGAAGTTTAATAAATATTATCAAAATAATTTCAAAAGAATATAACCGTAATAAAGTGACGCGTAAAAGTATTACACTCGGGCAAGGTCGATTATTGAACACCTTACATCACTTTGCTGTGATATAATTCTTTATTTATTTTCGCTATAAGAGGTTAAGCAGATAAAAATTAGAGTTTGTTTACTTATAATAATAGAGTACTAATAGAAGCCTGTACAAAGGAAGGAACAGAAAACGTGGACTGACGTAGTCCAAATTCAGAAGAACAAGTTTTCTTGGCAAAGATCTTACTGTTCCTTATCTACAGTCCATACAAGGGCTTACTCTTCATGAGAGTCCTTTTATGAGGCGGGGATTAAGAAATAAACCTAAATAGTCCAAATTTGGTAGAGGTAATATCTTTTTTGCCAAATAACAGTGATTGGTCCATAGGAATTATCGTTATATAAAGGGCTACTTTTCTTAGAAACGGGGCCTCAAAAACTGGACCAACCGATCGAAAGTGTAAACATAGGGTTAGTATGCCAAAATATAATTGCTTGGCCATTTTCATCGAAACATCTGGTAAAACTGCAAATATGTTTTCTGGTAAAAATTTTACGAAGTAGAAATCCTTACATGGAGAGTGGTCTGAAAAATGGGTCAATCCATCTTAAACTGGGGTAGACCGTGAGCCAACGCCCTTCAATTCAACCAAATTTTGCTAACATATTTCGGAAAATTAAGGCCTGACGAATGTACATAAAAATACATGGACGGACATCAGACGGACAGACAAACTTAACACAATTGAAAAAATGATTCTCCATATCGACCTGTAGGCTGTCTTCTTGAACCCAAGAAGACAAGACAAACGGAAAAGTTTAAGTCGAATCAGAATAATTTTTTGAATCGGTCGATATAATAAAGGAAGAGTCTATTTTGAATCCTTCTGGCTGTTACACACATCGCTACAAACACAATATACCCTGAACCAGAAACGGTGTAGGGTATGAATAATTAAGTGGAAATAAGTATATAAATACAAACATACATATTTAAATATTGTACCTGAAATGAATGGCCGCTTTTGGAAAAAGAGTTACGTAAAAATCCAAAATGAAAAAAACTGCCATACGATTCACGACGCGCTTGGGGAGATGCGCTTGAACGAATCAATGATAGGTTGGGATTTAAAGGCGATGCCTCCGAAAACGCTCGACCAGTTTGGCCGAGGGGTGTATGACGTCGCATTTTGCTGTTCTGTCTTTTTTTTTTTATTTTTTTTTTTATACACAAATTGCACTTTAGTTTAATATTTAACAGCACTTGAGAATAAAAATAGATTTTATTGCCATCGTCATCGAACAAACAGCACCGATCGATCGAACATTGAAATCCGTAATTCCGTAAATATTAATTATTCGGTAGTCTCTTAACTAAATTACTAATAATTAAATTAATTTTCAAAGTAAATATAGGAAAAAAGCACCAAACACATGTGAATACATTTAATGTATATTAGAAATCTCGAACGCTCGTGATATTTCGCTCTCTGCGGTGCGCGCGTACCTTTTGTATATGTTTCTTTTTTCAATGACAATCAATAAATAAATTTACATGATGAGTAGAGGAGACCATTCAAAACTTTTCTATAAGCGAATCTACATATATATGCATAGATAAGTGTATTATGATTGGAAAGATTTGTTTCGTGTTTAGTCGTTCAACGTACTCTCCAAAAAAGAAAACAGAACGAGAAAGCTTGAGTCGAATCTTTTGATATCCACACTATCACGGCTTAAGCAAGAAATTTCATTGCAGAATAGAACGACAAATCTTTCACCATACAAATCGGATAGTATCACATTAAGTTTAAGATCATATTTTCATAAAGCTCTGCAGCATCTCATGGCCAATTGCACAAAATTACAAAATTATATTTGTTAGTTTTAAGAGCAAAACTCAGCTTACAACTTTGAAGCTATAATTTAAAAGAAAGGGTTTTCGTAATTACAAGCTAACCGGTCTAGCTAATTTTCTTACTTAACATGACATATGCGATAAGAAAACACTTGAGGGCAAATTTATTCTTCTAGACAACATTTTTTGGTCGTTATCATGATTTCAACAGAAAGAGAGACGGAAAGAGAGATTGTATATGTTTAAAGAATGCATATGCTTTATTGAATCCGCCTTTGTGCATATGGCTAAGTGTTACAAAACATTAAGTAAACCTAACACAACCAATACAAAGCGCTTCGCGATCTGTACAAAAAAAAAAAATGAAACAAAAATCTCACTTTAACTGTTTTTTGTGTTTGCGTGGATTTTGACTACAATTGAGATGATGTTCTCCGTTAACTCTACATAGAAACGCAACAAAGACAAAAAAAAAAAAAAAAAAAAAACAAATTGAAATCATAAAAACATTTTAATTTTAATTACTAAACAGTTCTCCTTGCTATATGGAGTCTTGTTATCTTTTCACTATGCAAACACGTTTAACATTATAAGGTATTATTTTTATTTTTAATGTATGCATTTAAACACACAACAGCCCCTATATTAGCCGTTATTTATTAACGCAACAATGTTAAGAAAAAAAAAAAAAACTCTGTTATGTGACATAATAGAGCAAAAAGAAAAAGATTATTATGCGTTTAAGTCGACTTCTTGAACGAAAATAGTATACACCATGAAAGAGTGTTGTCTTGATCAAACTTTGCTTTCACGGTAATTTCCCGCCGATAGCCGTTGCAAATGATCATTTGCCCGCTATTTACTTGACTTCTTTCTAAATTGACGTGTGACCATCACGCCTATAGAAAAGAAGAAAGAATTTCGATTCGATTTAATGATGACCGCCTCAGGTGAGAAGATTAAACGGGTAAACATAACAAGGCGGTGCTTATACTTCCATTGTAAATGAGCAATTACTCGCTATTTACTTGAACGCTTTTTAAATTGATGCATGGCTACCCCATCTATACACAGACCCCATTTATAAAGACCTTTAGCTATCTCAAGTTTTGGGCGAAGTTATACGTATATGTTAGTATATAAATACTATAAATAATATATAAATACCGCTATAAATTTATAAATTAATTTCTCGGTCTCATTACGTTTAACACTTTCAGGTTCCTACAATAGCCGGAATACATGAAGGGCGGCAGTCACTAAAATTTTTCGCTTTACCGGTAAGCGGTAAGCATAACCCATGCTTTAAGTTAATATATATTTTTTACCAAAATTTATTGACTTGAATTTTTCTCCCAAATTTTCTTTTGCGACGTGAGACCGCTTTCCATAAATTGAATGGGAAAAGAAGAAAGTCACAACGACAAACAGACGAAGAATATATCGCAACAAATTGCTGGAAAAGAAAGAAGAAACCCGAGTTCTTTTGTAACTCGAAAAGCTGCGAGAAATTCCATAATTAAGATAGTAACTAAGGCGATATGCTTGTAAAACAAATTTAATGCTATACTTAGAAACTAAGGCACAATTCAAGCGATTTTTTACTGACAATTGCATAAGTTAAAAATATCTCATGAATTTAATGCATCTGCTGTCTGAGACACAATACATTACATTCACTTTAAGTTTTAATGAAATAATAATATTTTGAAATACAAAAACGCATGTCATCGATTCGAGTGGTAGAAGCAATATGAGAGGTTTAACTGTATAAAGAAGGGAAATAAAAATGTTCTCCAATTTTTGGAAGTAGCAAGGGAGAAATTATATTCGACTTGGTTCATTCAAAGTAGTTAGCGATTACTGTAGTAGAGCTGCTATAAAACTTTAATATACCTTCGTTTAGTGTGCCTAGCAAAGCAATATATGATATTTGAATGACTATTCAATTACATTCAAATTAAAATATAACGCATGGGAATCTATATATAAAGAAAAAACTCCCACCATTTCTTGCATGAAATATTTTCAAGAATTCTTTAATTTGTTGCTTAGTAAAAGCCTACCATGGGAGAACTGTCAAACAACATTGTCAGATTTTTTTCTTTATTTTCAATCTGGAATAGATATGTGGTAACATGTGGATGATTATTGCACTTTGATTACATAAGAAGCTCCCCATATTTATTATTTTTCCTTCATACATTATCCAAAGGTGAACAAAAACGAATTTTATTTCCTAGTAAAGAATTGAAATAACTTTTTTGACCACCTTATAATTTTTTATAAGCAAAAATTGTGTACAAAAAAGCAGTCACAGACCTTGTTATATGCGCGACGAAACTTTATGGTAAGCACACTTATATCATTAGTAAACACGTAGATCGCTAATGCCGAATTGATGCGCACTTACGTACATGTATGTACTAATATTCAACTCTCACTTACGATATTTGCTTTACTTGTTGATTCAGGTATTGCTGTCGTTATTGGTAACGTTGGACAGTTGGTATCCAACCAATACGATATCGAATATACGGACATATTATCAGTCATTTTCGTAAATAAAAAAACGGAAAAATTGCTACGCGTAATAAAAATGAAGCCCTTAATGATAAGAATATGGTTTTTTTTTTTTTTTTTTTTTTTTTTTTTAAACAAATTTATGTATAACGAGTGACTTTACTAAGATTTTAACTGTAAGAGTAAAAGCTAAGTACTGAATATCATTTCGCATATATTACACACTAAGGTATATTATCTGCTTAATAAAGTTCATTTGAATGTTTTGTTTTGCTACCTTATCCACAAGGGATATACATTAATTGCACTCAATTCTTATTAGGGTTATTCATCGTGTATGCGATATTTGCGTAGACTGAAGTTCTCTTGCTCGCTTATCCTATCTGTAGCTTATTTTCTTTTCATCGCAATGTCCCAGATATTATAAGATAATTAGAGCGAAAGGTATTACATTAAAGCCTGTTTAATGCAGTAATCGTTTAAGAACAATACAATTAAGAAACAAAACTTCACCCAATTTTCGAAATTAAAAATAAGATTGATTGCTATTAACTTAAAGTAGAATTTTTCAACAGTTTCTTTGGGAAAGTAGAAGACAGACGGAGGATGTTTAAGGAGGTTATATTAAGCATTCCTTAAAGTAGTGGAAAAAAATTGATTTTTCAAAAATATTAAAAAATGGCAACACCACAGCCACTCTTTGGAGACATGTTTAGCTTAAGGAACTCTGCGGTACGCAGCGTAACTAGTGAAAATTTGAGTTTAAAAAAAAAAAAAAAAAGAGTCATTTAATCCATGTTCTTATATCTAGTGAACCACGTAGAACTTTTTGATTATATTGATATTTGTGTAATTGGTGAACGTGTAAATGAAGAAGTTCAAATTTCGACCAAAAAAAAACACTTTTATTAATAAAAAATGGTTAAATTAACTTATCGAAACAAGCCTATGTGCTTCACTAGAGAATGTTCTTTTGAAGATACAGTAAAAAATTGAAAACAAAAACTGAAAAATGTTCGAGTTATGCTAGTTCACGATTTCGAAAACTGTGCTTCAAGATAAAGGCATTTGAAATTTTCACATATGTTATGCATATGTTTTTTTTTATCACAATAAATTTTCTACGAATTTTTTCTATTAGTCTGCGTTTTCAAGAGCATAGAACTGCCCTTCCAAGTTCAAATATTCCTCCTCTTTCTCCTTACTCAAAGATTTTATGCTACAAAATGAATGCTATAATGAATTTTTATACAGGGGCAGCTTTTTGGCAATTGAGTGAGCGTATTAGAAATGAACTTGAAAAATCAGCCTCTGGATGAAATATATGTTGAAGGATGATCTTACAGTTCTGTACCTATTACCGCAGGATGGGGGTTTTTTTCATTCATTTTGTCAATACTTTTGTAACACTCAGAGAGAAGCTTCAGAGAATCTATAAAATATAAAATATTCATAATCAGCATCACATTCTAAACTGATTTTAGCCTGTTCGTCTGTCCATTCGTCTGTCAAAAGTCACCCATGCCATAAATTTTCTTTTTTTCAAATTTTTTAAGGTTTTCTGCTTGCCAACCATAAGGTGAACGAGACTAAATATTGATAATTATTCTCTAAATTCCTGACATGACAATATATTGTCTGACTAAAAATGTGTTGATTCTAAAATAAAGTCGAAGGATTCGTTTTTTAATAGCAGTATTATCGATTGGATATCGTACAAAAGGAGTTGGAGGGCAAAATGCTACATGATAAGCGTGCTGGTTCTAGATTAACTATTGCAGAGATCACGACGTGGTAGATTAATTTTTTCCCCATTGTCGATATAGGCATCAAATAAAAGGACTTGGAAAATAGATGTAGAGAGGATAAAAGATTCGGTCGCAACCGACCATAGTTGTCCTACTTGTTAACTGCGAAGTTGCTTCAATCTTACTGCTTCGCGAAATCCTTGCAAATAATGGGATAATTAGTTACAATATCATTAGTTGCTTATTTCTTATTTGAGTATTGCTGGAGCTATCGTTGTTATTTCTTATCTATTGCAGCAAAGCTAAGTATACATCTGTTTGTTTACATTACAGAATCTCAACATCACGACAGAATTTCATAAGGGAGTTGCTAATTAAAATGTTAACAACAAATATATAAAGCCTTAAACACAATAAGAATGTTTGCATTTTGCTTTGGCTGCAGTAATCCTATGCACTGAATAACGT